TTTTTACCTACTGATAAAAATGTAGTAGCTTTTTGTTACTTGGAAATTACTCGGATGCCTAAATTAGATTTAATCGCTTTGAAGCAATTCGTCATATTATTTCGTAAGGTATTGTTGTAAGGTTTTCAAAAAATTCATAATACCACTACAATTCAAACTATAAAATTATAAAAAATCTAAATAACTCTAAGAGATTTGCCTTGACTAGGTCCCTATTAAGAAAATAAGCACTGTCGTTTTTTTTTTGTAAAATCCTTGCCCCGCTCTTGGATTTTCTCCTGTGACGTCAGTGCGTTTACAAACATATAATTTCACATACGTGTCACACCCAGACCCGGAACAACAATTTGTGGATCAACAATGAGTCGTCCCGTGCGGGAATCGAATCTTCGACGTTATATGGTGGCTGGTAGATTCATTTCCCGTATTTCCCACAGACTAACGATAAAGGCAAATAATATCATGTTAAATACTACCAAAACCTACAATCGAATTTAAGCCGTAACGTTAATAAATTAGGATTACTTTCGAAAGCTATCAGCATTTAGATTAACTTTTAATCGATGATAATTGTGGGAAATTCCTAAAGCGATTAATGATTTATTGGAACTCATCGAATTTCATTGTTAGTGTCCATTTTTTTTTGTACAAATATGACCTACGTTTTTTTAATATATATGTTTTAAAAAATGTCATTTGATTTATATATTTGAACCGAAAAACAAAAATAACTACTCAACCTTATAAAGCGAGGTTTGTCGTTTCGATGTTGTTTTCGTAATTAGTTAGCTAATATTTAACTCACAGTAGGAAAATTTTCAGGAAGAAGTCGATATGGAAAACTAAAACAAAACATTCTGAAAACTTGTTTTTAAAGATAAAATGTATCTCATCTCCTCTTTCCATTAAGCTCATAAGAAAACAATCGCATCGTGAATGCAGAAAAGAATTATTCTAATACTGAACTGAAACGATGTACATTCGCTGTCATTAGCATTGCAAAAAAACAAAGCATGAGCATTGAGCGAAGTGCACTGAAGTAATGCATACAAACCGACCGACCGTACCGACAATAGGAAATAGAGGATTTTCTTTCTTTCCATTTTAAAACGTTGCATCATTCCAAAATCTGTTACTACCTGTCCCGATATACCTTCGTAGCTTTGCCGCAGCCAACTGGATGAAATAGCTGTACAATCAATCAGCTAGCTCTTTTATCGCAGTACACTTTAAGAAGCTATTTATTTGCGATGGTAATTCGGTTTCTTTGTAGTTTACAGTTCTAACCTAAACTATTGTATCATTCTGGTAGTAACTCGATTTTTGTGAGAATCCGTTCATCCTTTAATCCCTTTCTCCCATTTTCTAATCTCCATTTAATCATACGACTAATAATTCAGGCCATGTGGTATGATGGCTAATTCAACTATTTTGCTAGAACAATAAAAATTAACACATAAAGACTAACTATAAGAAGCTTATATAAAACTAGGTCACGTAATATGACTTTCTAAAAATATACCACTTAGAAGACTGAAATGGTTGGCAACGATTAAAACAATCTCAGTGTACCAATCTTCTCTATAGACACTAGTAAACAGAAATAAGACCTTTAGATTCGAAACCATAAGATTTGGATACGAAAAAGACTATTTCGTATATGAATAAAACTTTTTATGTGCAAAAAACAGTATCTAGCTACAATAAGAATTGTGCAGTGAAATGAACAATACCGTAATGTGCCTTGAGATTGTCACGTGAAGCTGAAGATGGTCTTTGAAATGCTAAGCTTAAAATCCTCTCACATTTACCAAGAAACTAATTATGCCGTAATCATTGTACACTTACGCCGTTGTGGTCTTGTGCCCTTGACGGAATGGAAATGCTGGCGAAATTAATTTGGCTCCGTAATTGTTTACCATGAACGAAGATGCGTAGAGTAATTTAAAACACATAATATTACGTTTGTTCTATTCATAGGACCATTGTAGAGGTTGTATTGTGCATTCAGTTTTATTAATATTGTCTTGTAAGGTTGGTTTAGTACAAGTACTATCAGTGTCATAAGTGCATGGAGGATTCCAAATCAAAATCGTTTGTACGGCGTTTCATCGCCTTTATAATATACCATGGATGACATAGATGGCGCTAGTATACTAGTGCTATTGAAAAATATATACATTAATAGTTTTTATCAGATACAAAGTTATTAACTTAATAAATTTTCACACAAATTAATCCTACGATATTCCAAACCTTTTTAAAGCAAAGCATGCAATAACCAGGATTCGAACTCGGTAGCATAAAATTTACCGAAGCCACTAGCCTACTCTTTATTAAATTGAAGTTGTTTAGCAACTATAACCTGATCATAAATCTCAAAACAGTTGAGGGTAATTTAATATTAACTACATAAAATTTAAACCTTTTTGTTCAATCATAACATTCTTTACTATATTTGAGAGAGTTCAGTTACGATTTGTTTAACAAGTTTTTAATATTTATTTTTATTATGAGTTTGCGTTCCAATATTGATATGGCTACGAAGGCCCAAATAATAGCATTGCATAATCAAAGCTTAAATTATACTGAAATTTCGAGAGAAAATGGCTTAAACGTAAGTATTCTTTTAAAATGACCGTTCGTTATTTATTTTATTATCCATGGTTATCGATACATGAAAATAATAAATACACACGTCCCTTACAGGTAAAGACTGCCACTTTATGGATATCTAAAGCTGTTTCAAGAAGAGGGTTCATTGGAGCACCATAGTGGATCTGGCAGAAGACGTGATATTGACTCAGACCAGCTTCAACTTATGGGGCAAGGTTATGAGGAAAATTACTGGAGCATTGTCATCTTCAGTGATGCAAACAGTGAAAACTACATAGATGTGCTGAAAGACGTCATGAAGATGTGCTAGTGATAACGTTCGTGCAGGACAATTGTCCTATGTGTAATGTTCCATAATTGTGCAAGTGTTTAGTCAGCAATCAGACATACGGATTATTCCTTGGCCAGCGAGATAGGAGAAATAGGACGGATAAAAATGGCGGCTACACTAGTTCTTAGAAGAAAAGATATTGTTGACTATAGGATTAAGCAATTACAAGACCGGGGTAGCTATAATTTATTTAATGGATAAATGTTCAAGCTTAGTGTTAGTAGGATAAATTTATTGACTACTTTATAACCAGCAACTGTTATTTACAGTAATAATTTTAATGTTTTACTTAATATGAGAAATAAAAATAAAAGCAATATTAATATCTACAGATGCTATCGATTGCAAATTTTGCAAATTTGCAATTGCGAATTTTAGTTAATTTAGTATGTCTCACGATAGTTATTATAAAAACAATAAATTATTTATTTATTATTACTATAAACAATTCGTCCCATATCTAATGAATGCTATATATATCCCGGTCTTAGAAATGTTATTGATTTAAGGTCTAGCTTCAATTTCTTCCTTGTTCTGGAACGAATACTTAAGCTATGGGCCTTTGTCATAACATGATGCACAAAATGAATCACTTTAGTCAATACTTTAATTAAATCTAAATTTTAAATTTTATGGGGAGGTAAAATAGTTGCAGAAGTAAGGTTGCATATTATATAGAATCGTATTATAACATTTGTTTAAAACTAACTAATAAATGACTAGCACAACACAATTTTGATTTAAAATACTTATTAATCTTATAAAAAGTGTATTAAATAATGTGTCAGTTAAATGAAAAGTTAGGATTTGATGTTTATTAGGTCAGGGTATACAGTACATAAGAAAGAAATAAATATTATGTTTTAAGAAATAAATGTCTGAAATTATAATGTCACTAAAATAGTTTTATTCGTTATCCTTTATGAGAATTAAACTTAGTAAGTATAAGTCTTAATCTGTAAGAAAAATATGTTACTTTTTCATTAATAGTTAGCACATATTATAAAAGTTATTAATATAATTTTATTCTAAAATAATATATATATATTTATTTTTGTTATCTTATATAAATATTAAACGTCAAATATTTTATTTATATATTATTATTGATTTTATATAAAAAATATAAAAAAAAACCATTGTTAAAAAACCTGAATATAAAATTGATAACCCGGAATTGAACCGGTGCCCTTCGAGTTCATTATTCTATCATTCTTATTCATCCGAGCTACCGATCGCATTTTTTATGATGTCGAAAATGCGGGTTAGTTTATAACTTTTATTATTGTCTATTATTAATTATTGACGCCATCTTTTAATTGGTTTGCATTACTTGACTTAGATGGCGCTATATTAGGTCCTCGGAAATGAGAAAATTAACATAATTTATGTGTATTTGAATATAAATATATTATTGTTTCTTAATTATTATTTTAACCTTTAAAAACCTTATTGTGTGTCTCTGCAGTGTAAAGTATTCAAGCTTTGCAGGGTTATTTTCATTTAAAAGCAGCGCCATCTAGTTGTCAATGGTAGCGTTATGCAAAACCTGTCAGTCAATAGTCGACCTTAAGCTCTCCATGCATTTTTGTCACCCTTAGTACCTATGCTGTTGTAAACATAGACTCAGAATGTTATTGCAGGGTAGGGTTGGCAAAGATGTACTTAACATTAGCTTAAGTTTCGTCAGTTAATATTTTACTAATTGCCATAAAGATAGAGCAAACAAGTGTTGTTGTATAAAGTGAATTCTAACATTAAGTTACACCTACTTACAATAACAAAAACGTATTAAAAAAACAAAAAGTACTATACTTATAGATATCTACGACCAATTAAAATCTAGAAGTGGGAGCTAGTTACGTCACTGAGAATTACATGTAAAATGTAATAAATCGTGACGTCACACAATCAAATCAATCTATCGTCGAAAGTATTTTATTCTATACCATATGAAAAAATAATGCAGTCGACGTACGCTAAAAAGGCATTATGAATATTATGAACTACATAATAGAGTCGTATTTGTAACAAAGATCATTTAAGCACTTACCTGAAAATGATTTGTTCATTTCTAGTTTCTTCATGTCAGTGGATGATGATGTTTTCGGTGTCCAACACCAACATAACACCATGCGAAAGTAGATACGGAATCTGTGAACAAACAATATGAATTGCATTCGAAAAGCTATAAACTTCCGTTGTTATATAATTTTAACTTCCAAAATCACTAAGATAAGGTTGAATTTCACAAACATTTCGTATTTTATTAAAATAAAGTGAATTTATTACTCGAAACTATGTTATTTACCATAATAAATTGATAAAATGGTTGATTTAGATATTTAATTTTGGCAAATAACCCAAATGTTACATTACGTACCACATATTTTTCTAAATGTCAATTAAGATGAGTAATTTTTGAAATGAATGAATCCATTTGTTTAACTTAGAGACTAAAATTAAAATGAATAAGTTCATTTGTAGTGTTTTCTTGAAATTGCTATAGAAAAAGTTAAATTTAAAAAAGTTAACTATCATTTTTAACTAATTGCCTGCGTTTGTGAGTGATTGCATTGTAAAAAGTGATTGAAAAAGAGTAACCATGGAGTTTCTTGCTCGTTCTTCTCCATAGGAATCTACACTTTGGAACGAGCAAATAGCTTCACTAGAGGACAGACGGACAGACTGACACATAAAGTTAAACCTTATGATATCTTTTTTGCTTGACGTTCAAAAGTGCCTTTTGTGGTCTACTTAAAATAAAGAATTTGATTTGATGATTTGATTTGGTTTATAAATGCAGAGGATGAATATTTTTTTATGTATACATAACCTTTTGGGTCTGGTTATTGAACTTTCAGAAAGTATCCATCAATATTTTTGTAAATTTTTGAGATCGTGTTATAATACGATTCGGTTTTTAAATCTATTAAAATTCGTTTATTTACCCATCGCCGTTTGATCAACATTTTATTTTAATTGGAGATTGGTTTCGATCTATTTTTCAGAGTAATCTTTTTATGTTGATCATCAATTTTAATTTTAATACTTTCGTTTTAATTTGTAATGACTTATAATGAGAATAGTAGGACTTATTTGTCGGATATCTAAAGATTCAGCAAACATAAATCTCATCTTACATCTACAGTATTTCGTAAGTGGCTTTCGCACGTAAAGGGCTTTGGTGGCGAAAAATCAATCTAGCTAAATTTCATTTTCAGAAAAAAAAACAGACTCAAGCTGGATCATAATTAACTATAATAATATTTATGATAGGTAATTATATGTTTGATTGCTAAATGCTAAATTTGTAGAAAGTTAAAAAGGTCCAAAAAGAAACTTATTCGGAATTGGTACCAAAATCTAACACCTAATTTGTAACTGCTTGACTCGGTAGCTTAGTCAAGGTCAAACATAAAGCTTCAGCATCACAACAAACCCTTGTTTGCCATACCTATTAAATAAACTTCCTGAGTACGTGTTTGTATTGTCACAAGCATTTGACTGTGTTTGTCTATTACGTTTTGGCTTCCTCTATCTATAAGACAATATTTACTAGTCATTATAAAGATAGTAAAGGAACTAAGTATTGCGTTTCTATTTTTGGTTCTGTTTGAGGAGTCTTGTATTGTTTACTACTGTAGTTTGTTCATGTATTGTATACGACATATTGTGAGCGTTGAGTACCAAAGACAAAAATAAAATGTACTTTTTGCGGAGAATGTTGGCAAAACGAGCAGACGGATCACCTATGGGTAAGCAATCGGCGTCACCCAAGCACATCCACAACATACAAGATTACAATCCAGTCTTTTGGGGGATATGATTTGAAAATTTAGGGATTTGGCCTCCAGTCTATCTCCGATCTATCTATCATTTATGTAATAAGATACCCTGAAACACAGGTTTAAATAAATCTAGTTCAGGTGTTCCCTAGGCACTTTACTTTTCAAAGCATATCTCTTTATATATCATCATAATTATAATAATCTAGATTAAGTTAACTCTTTCTTATCAATGTAATTAGGTCAAAACTTATTATTACTTACGTCAGTTGAGCTAGCTGTATAAAGTGTGATCTTTGTTTTTAATACATTTATTTTATTTATTTAATCATTTTACTCGCACAGGAAAATACAAAGCGAGCGTTATTTCACGTGAATCAAGGTCATGATTCATAGAGAGTCCTCCCTGAATCATGATGATGAGGATGAGATGACCGATTGGCGTCAAATGTTAGTGTCGGCCAGCGCTGAAAATCAGCGCTACGACATTGTCTCGCACAGTATTGCAGCTTAAGCTGAACGGGGGCCATTTCGCGTGCTTGTGACGCATAATTATTATTACTCTTTTTTATGTTTATTGTTTTTTTTTATGTTTATGCACTTGTTTATTTTGTATTCTATACGCATCTTAGACGCGGATTAATACTTTTGTTTGTTTGTTTGGTTATATAGGTTGCATAATAGTATTTTGAATAATATTGTAATTTTCTTCGTACGGAATTTTCTGAATCCTATCAAATTACATGGTTGCCTACTTCTGAATACCAGGTAAAAACTAGTTTATATATAAAGGATGACTTGTACATAAATGATTCAAAAACATTTTTATTTGATGTTAAGGAAAATACCGGTCACCCTCGTAAAGTAAGCTTGTTGGTAATAACTCAAGTGGAACGGCCACTTAGGCATAATATTTCCCTTTATCGAAAAAATGTTTACGACTTTTCATAATATTTTTCAACGGCCTATTCAGGGACACACAATGGTGTATGCAAATTTATACCTTAATATAGTAAATACACTGTGCAGGAATTTGTTTGAAATTTTTTCCCATAATTTTTTATCTCTTACCGCGAAGGGCGGCAGAAATGTTTATATTGTGTAAGAAAGTAGTCCAGTTCATGAGATCATGATGACGTCTAGAAAGGGAGAATGGAAGATATATAAAATGAAACAATGTTACCTTAACGATATAAATAAAGAAGTGTACAAAAATATTTCACACAGTTCCAAGTAACTTAATCTTTTTCAAACATCTTTGAAGCAAGATAAATCAACGTAAATTCTTCGTCATCAAATATTACACAATTCACTTGCATTTGTTTTTTCACATTTATCATACAGCTTCTTTTCCGACTGGTTAAGATGAAAACAGATCTCGGATTGGAAACGATCCAAAGGCTATGTTTACCAAAATGCGCCAACAAACATCCAATTGCAAACTGCGACTAAACAAATTGGGAAATTCTGCTGGAATAATTTATAGCAATTTATGTTTCATATTCTGCAATTGCAAAATTGGCTTTTAACGATTATTTTAAACAGTTAAATCAAATCATATCATTTATTTTTATTACACCGGTATAGGTACTTCTGAACGCCAAACTAAAATCGTCTTGGACGAGATTGCCTAAATTATCAAGAGTTGCGTTATGTTTCCTGATACAAGAAGTGCCTATGTCCAGTGACATATTATCACAACCATGCAATCAAAGCACTAACAGTAGACAGTGAAGGATTTTTAGAATATAATAATGAAAATTGCTGATCTGATGCAAAATAAAAATTATATAAACAAAACACAACCGCTAGCTTACTCTTTCTAAGTTGATATCTAGTTTTACTCGACTCAAGGGTGTACTTCACGGTTTTTGTTTGCAACTACGTGATTGCCTCTTGAGTTTTTTTTTATTTTAGAATGGCAGTAAAAATAGTTTCGCATATAAAAAATATTACAAATTCTTGATTTTATTAGATACCCATTTCTTTTGGGTATGTGAGCGCCATGTTCGAGATGATAAAGGTTTTAAAATTTAATGATGAGGTATTGAAAATTATATGATGAGGATCCCATCTTTTTTTTAATAACTTGTTCTCTTCTTTGTTCTCACGTATGGGTACAATAATAAGTGATGTATTACTGAACCTGTAAAAACCTGTGTTTTATATATAAAGGAAGCACCTAGCTTTACGGACGAACCGACTGAAAGACTACTTATTCTATTTTACGTTTTGAAAGTGCCAAATGATGGTTAGGGTACTTACTACACTATCACTTATTTCATAGTAAATATATATAATATAGTAGGTAGATATATATAAAATAGTTTTTTCTTATATATACTAACATGGAAGTTATAACAATGCTTCCTTCAGCATTATATATGCGCGCCTAGCTTTACGGACGAACCGACTGAAAGACTACTTATTCTATTTTACGTTTTGAAAGTGCCAAATGATGGTTAGGGTACTTACTACACTATCACTTATTTCATAGTAAATATATATAATATAGTAGGTAGATATATATAAAATAGTTTTTTCTTATATATACTAACATGGAAGTTATAACAATGCTTCCTTCAGCATTATATATGCGCGGTATATAAAAAATAAATTTTGCATATTATCAAATTAAAACTTATGAATGTTGCAGCATCGAATGTAAAACTCATATTACAAACATAAATTACAGTCACCGTTTTTTTTTATAATATTATATATTTATATAGACCTACAATAAATTTTAATATGATACTGGCCATGTGCACACACGTGAAAGCCACTCAATTAACATTGTTAGTAACGAGTACATTCAATTTTGAATTCAGAACGTTGGAACGAATATTGAACAAAAATTGTTTACATTTATTGATAGTGCTGGTGTGACACGTGTAAATGGTAGGTAATAAATGCAAATAATTTTTTTATTACAATAGAGAATTTATTGTTTTGTAAGGCTTATTTTAAAATAAAGTAGTACAAAAGTGTTTGCTAAGGAATAACTCACTCTACATTAATACGGTAGTTTCCAACTAGTTACATTTAATATTTTTAACCAAATATTAATCATCATATAAAAAGTATCCTTTTATGTCAAAAAGGATACTTTTCTATGAAATTTGTATGAAACACTGAGTTATGACGTAATTGTATTTTTGCGTCATATGTCTTAAAAATTTGCTAAAAAATATCAAAAAACTTGTGTACCAATCAATTGATGAATAAAAGTATAGTTATTTTTCATTGTATTGAAACGTTGATTTAATTTATTTTTGACCTAGGAACCTACCCAATTCTTCCTTTCCTTTCCTGTAATTTTCAGAAAATCTCTACTCAACTTTGTAATCTCTTTATTGTATTTATAATATTATTCAGCTTAAAATTTTAGGACAATTCGGTTTGTGTTGGCCATTCAGGAAGGCCATAATAGGCTGTCAAACGTTAACCTAAAAACAATCGAGGTGGAACCGCATAACAGTGAATAAATAATAAGTACCACTTTGTACGCATTAAATCCTAGTCTCAATCTAGGTCGTAGAATTTCGGTCCGAAGTTTCTCAAAGCGCCAAAAGTTATGTGTCCAGAACTATGACTAATATGTTTTAAATTCCCAAAATAATTTATGACCGACAGATGTTTGAAAGAGGATGCGATACGGCAATAAATATTGTTGGACTATGAAAATAGTAATAGAATGGAATAGATATAATGCCTAGTTGATGGAGGATTTACATGTCTGACTGCAAAATACTGTAGTTTTCAACTAGTAAAAATACCTCTGTCCAAATATAAAAAAAATGATACGTTTCTATGAAATTTGTGTCAAACTCCAAATTATGATGCCCTAGGATTTTCGCGTCAAATACTAGTTATTTCTTAAAAATAAGCAAAAATTGACGAATATTTGTGTTTCGATAGATCGATGAATAAAAGTAAATATTTTTATTAGAAATTTACTAAATAAAAATACATTTAGGTACACAATTAACTTATATAGATATAAACTTATATATAGAAAGGTTTATATGTACATACACATACATAAAATAGTGAATAATTTAGATATCTGAATTGCACCCGTGTGAAGCTGGGGCGGGTCGCTAGTATTACATACTTTGTACCAAACTAGAGGTTATTGTTCCAAAACGCATGAACGTTTTCATCTTGCCTTAGGTTCTATTTGTTAGAGACCTTTAAAGAAATAATTTAATAAAGAAAATATTTGATTACATTTCACTTAACTTATAAAACATCTGAATTTACAGACACTAAGCTACAGAGCAATAAACCTAACTTCAATATTCGGTTACTCAGAATAGAAAATCAATTAATTTTAAAATAGCACTCAAGTTTTGACCTTAGGTCGTTGACGTTAATCACTATTTTCAAATGGATATTTTACCTGACACCCACTTCGGGGACTGGGTTCGTTTTCTGAGCAAACACCAGAAATAATACGTCAATCACTCGCTAACCGAACAACATTTGACCCGGTCCTAACTGCGGTTTCACCCGCACTCATTTTATTTTATGGAATCCAGAAAACTAATTTGAAGTTACAACAATTATATAATTTTGACGATAAAAATTGAAAAGTGAAACCAAAGTTTTCCGTGAAAACTGATTATATAAATCGACAATATTGCATTCAAGATCCTTAAATGTCTGCTTAAAAAAAAAAACACGTAATACATATTTAAAATTTAGAACAGCTCCATAAATTTATACAGCAAAGTATCATATCTAAACTTCAACCACATTTAAGATTAATAAAACATTATGTGACTTTAATCACATCCGAGCTCGAAATGTTTCACTCCCTGCTTCCAAAACTGGACCTAACAACAAAAGGAAAACTGGCCAAGAATTAGGGACCGTCAGTCCTTCGTTATACGAACTATTATGCAGAAATACCTACATCACTATTTTATGACAAATGGCACCCTTTATGAATGTTTATCGTGTAGCTCCCTCTAATCTAAGAGTCACAAAACCAGTGACCCATCTAGTGTTTTTATTATTATTGAGGTTGCGTCAATATGTGGATGGAATAAAAATAAGGTATAACGTCATTCAAGGTCATTTTAATGAATCGATCTGTTGTCCTAAAATTCTGTATCTTGAATTGAGTTTGGTAAGCATTTCAACTTTTGCATAACTTTCCACTGTTTTAAAAGGCAAATACCACGCCACAAACAAGGTACACAAAGAAAGATTTGTTCAAAGTAGATAAACGTAAATTCCAATTTAAAAGATCTGTACAAAGCTACAAAGCGTACCTAAATGCCCTCATCACAGCGAATAAATTCTACACAACTGTCTGTTTGTATTCCCCAAGTCACTACAAAATAAGGGATCTTAATAAAATACCTAAGTATTTCTTGTCTGCATTTGGGTAAAACGCTATTTTAAGCAACCTCACAAAGCAATTCATGAATAAAAAACTATCTTGTGCGTATTCTAAGCCATTTCAAAGCACATAACACTCATATGCTCCGTGCATAAAGTAGAATTTTAAAACAGTAAAAATTTGAATTGTTGTATGCTTTGCTTGAAACAACTGTTTTGGTTTGTATCGCTATATGGGAGGCTTACCCTTCCCAAACCTGGCTTGACTTTTAGTCAACAAAAAAAGGCATGTTAAGTTAATTTAAAAGTTAATAAATGAAGATAACTTTCTTGTAAAAAGACGTTGAAATGGCTCACAAACTTAATGGTCCAATCCATCAATGTCGATGCTTTAAATTGTTTGATATAGAATTTGTTCTTGTCCCAGCTAGATTTCCGAAAGTTCCTAAAGCGCTCCAAAGTTTCTTCGCCCTATTTTTTTATTCAGTTCCTTTTTTATTCCTTAATTTACTATTTTATCCACATTATCACAAGGAATCTATAAAGTTAATACCGTGACTTTACGAACGCTGCTATCGGAGCAAGACTTTGAGAAAGTTAATTTTCATTATCGCCTTATCAAGTTATAAGCTCGCATGCGGCTAAGAGGTATCATGGCTAAGAACATAATAGGCCCTTATTATAACTAAACATCTTCTTACAAACCAGACCGCTTTGTTTAAACTTCATAATTACTTAGTAATTAACGACGAAACCATCGTCTTTTGTTTTAAGAGAAAATAAGGACTTTGAGGTCACATAGATAAGGCACCTCAACCTTTTTCTACAATAGAAAAACATACCTAGACTGAAATATATAGTATACCTGTACATATTTATCTATAAACAGTACAATTATGTTAGCATGTGCTTCTTTCTCTAGCAATGTATTTCCAAATTCAATGAGCCCATGTTTTGTTCTACCAGACAACGTAAATTATCAGTAGCATTTTACATTACTAGCACACAATAATATTCTCTGTGAGACACAAATAAGATTCCAATTCGCAGCAAACATACATGCTAAAATGACCTTTCTGTAACCGCTAATCATTAGAAGGCTAGAAGACTACCTGTGGGTTAGTCGAAACTGACTAGTCTACCAATCAATAACAATTCCAAGCTAAATCTCAGCTGTTTGTGGTTTAACATATTGAGTTTTGGTTTTCTGTACTAGCTTGAAGTTAGGTTTGAAGGCAGTTTGTACTCGTAATTTAGCTTTTGATAAAAGGATCATCATAATATACTGGAATACAATTTGGAATACTTTTCCATTTTATTCCAGGAATAAAAGCTACGATATTAAGTTATGGAATACCATGAACAGGGTTCGAGCTTGAGCATTAACTTCACATTCGCTTCAAGCCAATGACGCGTTAGGGAAGCAATCAGTGCGTCATTCATTTGAGAGATCATATAAATGAGTTTCTTACTTCGTAACATCTGCACGAAAATCAACTTTGTGTACGCACGTATCCATTTGGATGTTTGATTTGGTTATTTTGGGAATTCGGAAAGCTTTTTTGGAATTAATTTTTGCAATCATTCCAGCAATTCACTAGATGCTTATCGTGTTTTTAATAGAATTTGATCTGACGAAATTGTAAAAATAACATCTTCACTTTTTACCTACTCTTTCACGCACTTCCTGCAGTGCTGTTTTTTTTTTTTGTAAAATATAAATGACCCATGTATATTTTCTAGTTCGTAGAAAATAATTTCTTCTAAGCTCTTTTTGCAGTACAAATCCAAAATAATTCTAAAAGAGCGGTACACTAGGAAGCATCTTTTGGATTGAGGTTAGCGCACCGATTTGTGAAATATGTAGCGTGAACTTGCTTTTCAAAGCAAACCGTTCGCTGCCTATTCAAGAGGATGAAATCCCAAACTTTTACTTGCCGAGAAAACATCTTAAGTAACATCGAAATCTCAATAAACATTTTTATTTATTCCGGAAATTGGAAATGGGTATACCAACCAAATAATTTTGTTTTGCAACTCCACACTTCTATTACCCCTTAGACCATTGGCAAATGTATCTCAGGAGAGCTCAAACGTTTTCACCTTCACGGTTTGCGGATGGCAGTATCAAATTCCACCGAGAAAACGGTTACCTACGTTATTTATTGGCCAAAATCCTCCAATCTAAGGTCACGACGTTCTGAAAATTCTCAAACCGGAAAATCCAATAACCCCTTCTTTTATTACGCACGACAGCCGCGCTTGTGACGCCACGAGCCAGACGATAAGGGCCTTAATTTCATCTAAATCGTATTTAAATGGGTTTCAATGGCTTGACTAAGATGTAGTTATCGATTTCTCCAATCCGATTTATTGTTATTAGACTTGCTACAAAATAATAGAATGCTTGTCATGTTTTTGCAGAGGTAAGCAGAAATACTAAATGACTAAACTCAAGCGTAATCAATGAAGCTTTTGGTTACACCTGTATTTTCACCTTAAATAAATATTGCGAAAATTATTAAAATTATGTCATACTCACTTATTACTCATCCAGTAATAAATCAAGGGGTTGAACATGGAATTCGCCATGGCCAACCAGTAGAAGAAGAGGTAGATGTGCTGGGCGAAGGGTGCAGATGCTAGAGACTGGTAGTGGTAGGTCAGGACGAAGTACGCGTGGTAAGGCAGCCAGCAGAGAGCAAACACCATCACCACCAGGACGAACATCCTCACCACCTGGGTACAAAAAAAATGATATAGGAAATAAGCTATTGAATGGATATGGCGATTTGTTTTTCGGCTTGAAGATATGCTTGAAGGTTTTTTTGTAAGATGATGGTGGAAAAAATGGTTATTAATAAATGTAAGGAAAATATTTGCTTGTTCCTAGAGGATTATTGGATAGAAGTTCGGATTTTAGTTCTCCTGTTTTTGGAATGCTTTAAAATACACACACGCATACACTACACTAAGTTCCTACTAAGAACTATTTTTCAGAAACTTATTGATTTCTATAATGAAAATATAAGAATTTTCTGCGTTGGAATTCCTTAATATCTCTACATATTAAAATAAAAACCTTCTTTTGTTTTTTTTTGTTTTACGCCCACAGATGTAATGAAACAAGATTTAGGGCTCAGTATCCTATTATAGACCGACATTCAGCTAATATGCAGTGGACTGGCTTTTTTAATAAAACTTTATAGGGTTAGTATTGTCTAGGGACTGGATTTTTTGATATAATTATACTTACGGACGTATCAGATCTCCGTATTTCAACAAAAACAAGACAAAATAAATTATTACATTTTATTATATTTTCATATTATTGTGTTAATGTTTAACTTGAACCTACTCTAAGTATTTCTTATTTGTCAAAGTTGTGTTTACAATAATATGAATTCGTATACACAAATACATCCCACTCAGACCTTGAACACAATTATGAGACCACTCAAAGAGTGGTTTCGATTTTCTATGGTGTCACCTAAAAGCATAAAGTGTTCTAATAAGTTTAGCATTTTTATACAAAATTATCAACACAAGGTTTGATATTATCGACTATTGCAAAATGACAGCTAACTGTGGTAGTACCTACTGGACACTGGGCAACCTTTCAACGATTCAGTGCGGAAATTACACTCGCGATCACACAGTCAAACGGATATCCTCTGTAGAGCTACATACGGTTCACCACTTAGTAATTACCTCGTATATTCAAAAGCAAATCGTCGAGACAATAAACATCGACAAATCATGTTACGTAGTTTCCAAAAACGCCATAGGCTTTAAAAAGCTGCTCGCATCTACAAGAATTATCAGCTAGAAAAACAATAAGGGAGAAGTGGCCAAAGCATCACACACTTGAAAATGTTCCCCATCTACAATGGTTTTAAGAACACCAATTAGTCATTAGTCATTCTCATTAAATACGAGCACAATATTGGGATCATAGGGCACGAAGCTCGGTTTGTGTACGTCACTTGAGGGGTTCGCTAGCACCAGATTTTTAATTAATTAAGGGACTCTTAAATTATATGCTCAACTTGAACTGGAGCGAGCAAGTGTCAGGGGAGCATTTACAATGCGAGGGCGGTAGCTGTCTGTTTTTATAAACTTTACTAGGTAATTGTTTTAATTTTCTTTTACAGGCAATAAATAATTTTGTTGGATAACCGTTTGCTTTTGTACTATGAATATAAATATTGCTACTGTTATAAAACACAAGTTTCTAAGGATCTAAGATCGCTCAGAAGAAGAACACCTCACAAGATTTTTTTGAAGGGGACAATCGTCTTTTTGTTTGCCGCCCTGGGTGAAGCGAGAGAGTACTACTGACTTAAATTCGTTTATTTCATTGCCTTGGGCTGTTTTTCAAAAGACTTCAATATCTTACGGTGCCCAGGGCCACTTGTAAAACTGATTGAGAACTTATTATCTATTCTATCAGAATGTCGGTCCATATGTCAGCTTGGAGTTGTCATGCTCACTCAAAGGTCACATTGGCGGTGGCACGGTCACTGGATCGCTCGATTCCCTATATTATGGTTGAGTTGGGCGATGCTGGTGTACGTGTCATGCTCGTGAACGGGCGCCGTCAATTGGGACTGGTCAGCTCCGGACTGTCTATTGTCCTTAAGGTTATTTTCTTTTTATGTTTCTCTGTATACACGCGTTACACTGTTCTCACATATTCAAACTAACTAAAAAATGTATCAAAGAATGTTTATGTGACACTGATTTTAAAAGAGTAACCATGGAGTTTCTTTCTCGTTCTTCTCCATCGGAATCTACACTTTGGAACGAGCGAATAGCTTCACTAAGAGGACTGACCGACAGACTGACACTTTGTATCTTTAAAGTTGTGTTGACGTTCAAAAGTGCCTGTATGGGTCTAATTGAAATAAATAATTTTGACTATTAGTTACGTAATGTGACTGGTTGACCATCAGCCTCTGAATGAGCAGTGGTCAATACTTTCGTGGATCTTACCTAAAAATCCTGCACTAGTATTTACCAACTGGCTGCCACCTTTAATTATATCAGACTAGGGAGAGTTACGTGGTACCTATACATTATTTCGATTGACTCGCACATACTATCTAACTTGCTTGCAAGTTTTCGTTGCTTAATTATTAAAATCGTTATTGCATTTGCAATAAGGAAAATTTTTGAGCTCTAATCACAGTTTTATAGTTCTTTTTTAATTGAATAAAGTTTTAAATAAAGTTGATCCTCTGACACGAAGATTAACGGATCAAAATCTTATCTACGCTCTAATAAGTAACTTGAAGTTGAAAAAGAAATTCAAAAATTAATTCTACGAAATTACCTTAGAAGTATTTAAGGAGAATGAGCAAAATGCTTGTATTTAAGGTTCTAAATAGATCTGGTGGGCATTAATATTAAATAGCCTTAAGACGAAGGCATGCTATAGTAGTTTTTAAACAACCGGTACATAATCAAGTTTTCTAAATAAAAGAATCAAAGTAAATGCTTTGAGTTTACAAATTTAATAAAATATCTGATAATGTTATCAAAATACACAAAAAAGAAACTAAATACAAAATAATAACCTTTTTTGAAATAGAAATCAAAGTTACACAATTAAAACCAAATATCCTGAATGATATTATATATATAATACTTACTTATATTATATGATTGACTTATAGAAATTTTCTCTAGCAAATAACCTATTACTTACCATTTTTATTTCATTATCTCTTGAAAACAATCAGCAAATTTAGTGATTGTTAAAATAATATGTATCCTACTAGACATATGTAATTGGATCCAATAGGGTTTATTTGTGACTGTAGAAATAATAGAACATTTAGTCCAATAACGTGTCGTATAAGACTAACGATTTGTATTATTTTACAGAGAAAATACATTAGTCCTATATACTATATGGGAATGTTGAAAGTCAAAGAAAGGTCAAATAAGCAATGAAATAGTGTTTTTTTTATTTATTTTGAAGTGATTTTCGTATTACTTAATTATAGTAAGTAGTTGTGACAGCGGATAAAAAACTCAGTTGGGTATCTGTTTTAGTTAAATTTATTTAGTAAGAAGTGCTTTTATAAAACATGAAAAACTATTTTTTATCTAATATATCAGATACCCGTTTGAAAATATAGAGTTTTTTTAAGTGATTGGTCGGCAAACGAGCTTACGGATTAACTGATGGTAAGCAATCAGCGCCGTCCATGGACAGTCGCAACAACGGTTATGAGTGCGTTGCCGACCTTTTGGGGATAAGGGATTTGGAGATTTAGGGCTCGAGAGAGGGAAGAATTGTGCGTCCGTTAATCTCACTCACACGGCAAAAATAATGTGGCAAAAACTGACCTACTTAAATTTCAATATTTATTTTGCAACATAGCTGTATAGCTAGAATTACTTCAAAACTTTGAAATACCGTGCAAAATAATAATTCAATCCACAAAAGTCACAGCTGCAATATAATTCTTATATAAAATTAAAACTCTCGCCATTTTCTTACAAAGTTGTGACTTGAAAGACTTCCAAAAGAATGAACCGATTTTTAATGAAACTTTACACGTGCCTTGCAACTTTATAACATGTAGTGCAAGCGACATTCAACCTTAGGGTGGTAAAGTATTTTTATGATTAGAGAGAAAGTGCAATGTCCTCTACCAACCCGAGCAACGTCCCTAGCAAATTATTGCCGGTTGATACCATTAGACCAGTACGGATATCAGTTGGTGCAGCGTTGATTAATTGAATAGATTTGGAACTCAATACCGAAGCGAGATGAAAGGGACATGAGAGGTCTGATGCTTAAGTTACTACTTTCATTCTACTAATATTATATTAATGTAAAACTTTGTGAGAATGTATTCCGATTCGATTGCAATTTGGTATGTAGATAGGTGACTCTGGATTAACACAGGCTACTTTTTATCCATATGCGGGTGAAGCCGCGAGCTGAAACTAGTAAACAATAAACAAGGAACGAACCTTTATTGTTTTCAAACAAATATACCCAGGTATGTACAGAATAAAAAAGTGAACCGGTATGTGTTACACAATAAAGAATAAATAACAAAGTTCAAAGACTCAAAGGGAATCGTGACCAAATCAATGACAACGCTACATCCATGCGAGTGGATTTGATTTTGTTCCACCAGTTTTTTCCTTTATAAATAGAGGACAAACCAAGCCTTCGAAAACTGTTCTTTTGACGAATAAACTATACAGAATCCAGAAAGGAAATTAGAGGAAATTCTCTGAAGGATCGGTGACCAAAAGACCAAACCATTGACACGTAGGGAAATCTTTTATGTCCCCCTTGTGGTTGGCCATTCAATAAAATATAATGTAAATAATTGCTTAGTATGTAGGGTTGTTTGATTCAATTCTGTTTTAGTTTTTAAAAATAACAGTAAAAGCTTTAATTTGTTAGAAGTTTTTATAAAGCTACGGAGTTCAGAAGACAAACAATAACTTAATTGAAGCTCTGATAATAGTTATTAGTCGGTGCATCTTTGACTCGGGGATGGAGTTACTAAGTTTGTTTCCTTACGGAAACAAACTTAGTAACTTAGTAAGTAGTAAATTATAACTAGTATCATTATAATTTACTACTTTACTGGCGACCCAGCTTGGCTTTGCACGGGGCAATGCTGATACTAAATATCTCCACTTAAATCCTCCTCTTCAATCACTCTGTTTCTTAAAAAAACCGCATCAACATTCGTTGCTTAGATTTAAAGATTTAAGCATACATGCGGATTTAGGATCAGAAGAAGCGACGTTGTTCTACAGTACCTAACGACAGCGATGGTTAGCAATTATCACCGCCGCAACCATGGAACGAAATAAAAGTATTCAAAATAAGTAGGTAAATACTAGATGGTGACTAATCTTATGTAGGTACACTATCTAATTAATAGAGATCCATTGTAATAGTTCATTAGTACCTAAGTGGATAGATTTATCAGTCCGTCGGAAGTACTGATTGGAAGCATCAATCATAGAGTTTACAAATTAATCCCCTGATTAATTACCCCAGTCTGTCGCCTGAACAATCCTCTATTATATTCCATTTTGATATACAAATAATGTTACGTTGATTTGTGTAAATTTTATTTCAACATTTTTATAATTTGTTTGGATAGGTTCTAAATCAAAATCTGTCAATATGGCTGCTTTTTTGTAAGGAGAATATATCATCAAATGTATTTTCTCATCCAGAGTGACCAGACGAGAGGGAGTGTCTGATATTACCTACTGACTAAAAGCCACCCCGTTTCTTCTCCAGCTCCAGGTCTGGGTCGCGGTAAACATTTATTTTTGATTTAGAACGACACAAGTGCGGGAGAGTCATGCTTCGGCACGAATGGCTCGGCTCGACCGGAGTGATACCACAGCCTCACAGAAAACCGGCGTGAAACCACCACAGCGTTGTGTTTCGCCGTGTGAGTAAGGTTACCGGAAGCCCAACCTTTCTCCTCCCCCAATCCCTAAATCTCTAAATCCCTAACCCCGAAAAGGCCGACAACGTACTTGTAATTCCTCTGTTGTGGGTGTCTACGGGCGGCGCTGATTGCTTACCATCAGGTAAACCGTCCGCTCGTTTGCCGACATATTACATAAAAAAAAACAAGTTGTGAATATAACTTTAATTTATTGCGCAAATATTCGTATCTCACAGGACACTATTTTCCAACGAAACCCACGTTCGTGAAAAACATGTTTTCCAGTTAAGGTGACTATTTGTTTACTTATCTAGTTAATTTATCAGTTGGTGAACACATTAAAATAATAATAGCCAGTAAATAAATAACTAGCAGGAACTATAGTTTAATTACCTATACCTCTATACTAATATTATGAAGAGGTAAATTTTGTAAGTTTCTATGTAGGGGGTAATCTTTGGAATCGCTGGTCGGATTTCCAAAATTCTTTCACTGATAGATAGCTACAATGTTCCTGAGTGCTATAGCTTATAAAAAATCACGCTACGATAAAATGGAGCCGAGCAGCGGGTAAACCGCAAGAGAGTAGCTAGTTTTATTATAATACTGTAGATGCAAGTTTCCGTTAATTTTAATACCACTTATAATTATGTTGTACCTGAAGTTCATGTTCGTTAAAAGTTAAATAAGGGTTTGACGTGTAAGATATGTAATATGTATATATTGTGGGAGGTTTCTTCTCAGAGTAGTTGAAGATATTATTATAGGAAAAGTTAGGCTTATCTAGATTTGTTTTACTATCGAACGTTACGAATAATGAAACTTGTCGTTATCAGTCCGGTCGAGCCAACCCATTCGTGCCAAAGCCTGGCTCTCCCACACTTAGCATGTATTTCTGGATAGCAATTTAAATGATATTTTTTTTTTTTTTTTTACTTGCAATAAACCATTGCTTGACTGCGATCCCACCTGATGTTAAGCAGTGATGCAATCGTTGATGGTAAGGCGCACTAGTTTATTAAGAGCCTATTCACTCTAGCCTTGAAGACACCTAAGTTGTATTCGGACGGAAAGACTGCAGCCGGCAAACTGTTCCAATCCCTCGATGTACGCGGTATAAATGACGAGGCAAAACGCTTAGTCCGGGCCGAAGGTGTCTCAACAACGTAGGGGTGGATATTCGCCGTACGCCGGGATGTCCGAAGGTGAAATTGGGATGGCGGAATCAAATCGTGCAATTCCTGGGCACACTCTCCAAAATGTATCCTGTAGAAAACCGCAAGGCTGGCTACTCTGCGCCTGTGCTCGAGACTTTGAATATTGGACCCAACCAAATCTGGATCTCCAATCAGCCTCATTGCACGCCTTTCCACCGAATCCAAAGCCGCTAGCCGCTAGCCGCTAGCGAGCCTTCCTCAGTGCCTTTTTGTAGGACTTGGCAGCATGGTTAAAGGCTCTCTTCTTTGAGCTCAGATCCGGAGCTTTATGGTCACGAGCGTTAACCCAGGCGAGAAAAGCCGAATGTTTACGCTGTTCAGCTTGAGCGCATTCGGCATTGAACCATGGGTGAGCCGAGCCGCCGATGGGTACGTCGGTATATGGGATGAAGTACTCCATAGCTTGACGTATCACATCGGCAACAGCATCGACGGATCTTCAGAAGAGAAGCAGACCCGCTGCCAAGGATAAGATGCGAAGAAGTGCCGCATCTCATCCCAATCTGCTGACTTGTAACGCCACATCCGCCGCTCACCGCGTGAGACGCAGTCAGGTGGGGAGAAGGACGATAAAGATTTCACCAGACAGTGATCTGAAGTTCCAAGGGGCGAAGAAACTGTTACGATACATCTGTCTGGATCGGTGGTCAACAGAAGGTCCAGGCAATTGGCAGTATGACCAACCACATCAGGCACCCTAGTCGCTTGCCTAACCAGCTGGGAAAGGCCTAACGAAACCGCAAAGTTCCGCGCCTCTCTCCCAGCATGGTCGGTCCTCTGGTATGGGTAAAGCCAGTCTTGGTGGCAAGCATTAAAGTCCCCCAGAGCGACGAACTGCGCATTAGGGTGCCAAAGCAGAGCCTCATCGGCGGCCTGACTGAGATGGTCAAAAAGTCGAGTCGTCTCCTGATCGCCGCTGTGCGATCGGTAGACACAGGCGTAAACAATTTTGTCCATACCAGTGTCCACCAACAGCCACAACGTAGACAGACTTGTGTCTTCAAGGTGACGGAGACGCTGGCAGCAGATGTCATTACGGACGTACACACAGACCCCGGCACGCTGCAAGAAATGATGCTCCAATGAGTATCCCGGGTAGTTGAGGTACGCCGTATCTGACGGACATCTAATCTGCGTCTCCGTCAAGAAAAGCAGGTGTGGCTTATCGGTCTCCAGATGGTGGTGGACCGCAACGAGATTGGAGTGCAGTCCTCGGATATTTGAGAGGTGCACTTTAAACGAGAGGACGTGCATCCGCTGTCGACACTTGCTTCTCTTTGTACCTTTCATGATTTTTTTTTCTTTATATCAATTTGAGTGAATAGGGATGCTGGAAGAAGGCAGTTGGGCAAGGTGATGCGATGATATCCATAACACAACCAGTGCAGCCGCGCCAATGGAGGGTTGATCTGGAGACTGCGGGGACGCCCGAACCCCCCCAGGGATCGCCATCGGGTCCTCTCGCCCGGACGCCAACCGGCACGATGGGGCCACCCTGGGATTTTTCGCAGATGGCGAGGCAGCCTTTCGTGTGTAGCTGGCACACTACTTGGGCCCCCAACTGTCTACGGTCGGCCAGCGGAGCACCGTGCTTCGGATCCCGCTACCCTCCACGATCAAACGTCCGACGCGACAGTAGCTGGTGTATCATACCCGGCATACATCGCAACACAATCGCTCAGACCCGACTTCCACCGTACGGCTTCACCAGACATCACGCCGGAACACGACGGATCGCTTGGCGGTATGGCTTTGTCTGGTGGGTGGTAACTTTAAAGCCGGCAGCCGATGCTATGGCCTACCACCGTAAAATTTCATATCACACAAAAAATTTTCGCATATTAAGGTGGAAAACGTATTGGGAATACTTCCATTGATATTAATTCACAATACGTGGTGAAAGTGGTACACCCACATACATGATGTCATACACCTAAAGGTATAGACTCTATTATTATTGTCATACGGGCTATCATAAATCGATCAACAATACCTCTGATGTCTATTGTGATGACAGCTATAATTATTATACAAAATACCTCGTGCTTGCGATGAAACATTAATTATAATAATTTTAGATTTAATATTCAGCATTTTTCCGGATTAAAAAAACATTTTGGTGAATTAATACGGAGTATGGTAGAAAATTCACTTTCAACTGATAGGTAGTATGTAAAAAAAATAGGCTTCACTTCTGTTTTTTGACGTATATACCAAAATTAACGATGATATTTAAAAAAAGATAATAAAACAATTTTTTTATATTAAAATGTGTATTGCGTAGCTCAGAAACTAATCTTCGCACTGACTATGTTGCGAACGGTCCGGTACCGTTTGATAGAGTTCTTTTTCTACTCTGGTCAGGTGTTTTTAAGAATAGTAACTAGTGACCTTCATCGAATTAGCAAAAATTATCCTACGAATATAAATTAATATTCATACTACGTTTACTATAACTAAATAATAAATAGACGAGCCTAAAAGTACCTACTGCTGAGAAGGAGAAGGTCTCACACGGAGAAGGTTTGAGCGTTTATCAAGACGCTACAGCTGAAGGCGATGGCGATTGCATACTTGTAATTAGACATTACAAATTCAGGATTTCTTACAATGTTCTTTTTCGTTTGCCAGTGATGTATGTTGAAACATAGAAAAAGCCACATGTTTAATTGCCAGGTTTAGAACGCATGCTCTCATGCATGAGAAGAGGGAGCCTCCTGGGAACCTCCAGACAACCAAAAGCTCCCGACGACAACAGGCTTACGTTATCAATTCACATTCACTCAAAACTCTACTAACAGATAAACAGTTATAACAATAGTTAATAGATTTGTTTTATGTCAAACCAAGGTTATCCGCTAGTTTCGTAAACTCCACCATTATTATGTTTGCAGAATTCGCTATCGTAGCGTAAGTTCCAGTTATTGAAACTGGCAGCTCACAAACTGAGATCAGTTTTGCACGAAGACCGTGAAATTAAGAAGTCCTTCAGACGTTGTTTGCTGGAGACGCTAATTTATTTTAATTGCTTCCCAGACTAATTTGTCGGCCACCATTTCTTTTCATTGGTGCCCTTAATTGTGATCTCCAGTGTAAATATTCGGATGTAAAATTTCAAGGCAAAATTTCTTTCAAAATGCCCAATGCTATAAATATTTAATGCGGAATTTATTAACGGTCACCATGTCCCTACTTGGCGTTTGTTTATTAATATAATGAAATTTCCATTAGAAAGAAATTATGAGGGAGGCAGGGACGAAGCTGGGTGGTCCAACATTAATTGGGAGTCAGTCTTTGAAGATATTGTTTTGAGTATCAAGTTGCCATCGTGATAAAATTAACTTAATTGATATTGTATAAATTGAAATAATTAGCTGTCGAGTCAACCACAGCGGACAATAATATTTGATGCTTTGTTTTAATTTGTAAGTAAGTATTCACGTTGATTGCTACAAACATTAATTAAAATTTTGAACAGAAGATATTTCTGACCATTTGGTATGATTTGAAAGTTAACATAGTATTTATTGTTCTAAGTTTTTTAGTGAATCGAAAGCGTCAATTTGACGTAGACACAGAATAATAAAATTAATTTACAATCCCGGAATATATAATCACAATCCCTTTTTACAATCTCATCCCCAGTAATGAAGTTGAGACCACATACATTTATGCTCACAAAACTGAATGTTGAAAGCTAAATGTTACATGCTAAAAGGATCGGGTATATTCGGGAATATACCCTAAAGGTTTCAAAACCCTACTTAAATTCACAGCTAAATATGTATAAGAAATTAAGTATAAAACATGTTTGCTCAGTTTTGGGTTGACTATTTAATTCCAAAAGGTTGAGCCCACAATTAGGTAAATTAACAAAAGTCTCCGATTTCATGTTTTCGTCTTCCTCTTTCGTTTATTTAATGTGAACTTTTACTCAGACATGTGGGAGTGAACACAGTCCCGTAATTAATTTAAAATTTCTAGAAATTTTTGCTTAACCGACCCTTCTTGGAAAACTAAACAACGTTCTTATCTCGTTCTCACGAGAAGGCTCAAATTTGAAAAGGAATACGTCATAAGTCCACATTTTTAAATGTTTATATTTTTTTATAAACTTTTTCTCAATATTTTTTTTACAATAAATATGTTTTTAGTAACAGGATTGCTACATAAAAGTGAAGTATTTATTTTGGCTGACTATTTTTCCCCAACAAAAAGCCCAGAAAATGTAATAGCCTAGAAACACATTTAACGACTTTTAGATCCCGATTATGTAGTACTCACGTTCGCTTTACTTGTCCCACGTACAAGCGTGAGTAGAATGAAGATCATAAAAGAAAAGGCTAGGAAAGCTAAATTGATTTCACAGTTTTACAACTCGGATGTGTTAAAGTTGTTTCAATTGTTTTATCAATTGAACAACAGTTTGTAATTATTTTCGCATCAAAAATAACGTTCGACGGCTTTGATAAAATAACGAGAGAGGGTTAAAAAAAGAATTTATTCTTATTTTAAATTCAATCTTGGAACAAGACGCAGTTCTTTTTTCAACTCTTAGAATTTCATGAATGTGTCATGTGTATTTAGGATTAGTTTAAATAGGTAGTATATTATGTTTAAGTGTGGGAGAGCCATGCTTCGGCACGAATGGGTCGGCTCGACCGGAGTGATACCACGGCCTCACAGAAAACCGGCGTGAAATAACCACAGCGTTGTGTTTCGCCGTGTGAGTGAGGTTACCGGAGGCCCAATCCTTCCCCCCCCCCAATCCCTCCTCAATCCCTAAATCTCCAAATCCCTAATCCCTAAAAGGTCGGCAACGCACTCGTAACTCCTCCGTTGCGAGTGTCCATGGGCGGCGCTGATTGCTTACCATCAGGTAATCCGTCTGCTCGTTTGCCGACATATTACATAAAAAAAAATTAAAAACAGATTGCATACGTACTTCAGTACGAACAATTGAGGCACACTTTAGCAAAACATTCGATAAATTTCTTGCATTCAAAATTGTACGTCTCGGGACTGTATCGATACTGCTCCTGAAAAGCAATAAATCTCCGGTTGCCGATGTTAATAGTGGCGTGTTTGCTACGGGACTGTATACTACAATAGAACTAGCTGCTGTTATTTGAAATTGTCTATAAAATTACTGTCAATGATTGTTTATCATTTCGTGTAACGTAGTGCGTAATAAATTGTGAATGAAGTGTATGAAAGGACAACAAGGAAAGCGGTGGAAAAGAAAAATGATTTGATAACTCTATTCTGGTCATCGAATCATTTTCTTTATTCTTTCGTGTCGTTTGCTCTTTGGCGCCAGATAAAGACGACTATAGAAAAAGAATATTGATTCAAAATTATGCAGTTTGTAGATTGCCTAAAGAAAAGAAGAAAATTTAAATTTCGTAGGCTCGATAACTTAATGCATCCATTCTATTAACTTTATTGAAAAAAAAAGTATTTTAGCTACAATTTTACTTAAACATATTTTGTGTGTAAAAAGTATTGTGTGTAAAATAGATATATAATATAGGTAAATAAAAAAAAAATATGGCTAGACTATTTGATACACTATGTACTGACCTTTCTCTTGGCTCTGACGACTTGCATCTGATGATGAGTACACTCGCCGATAGCTCGGCCTCTCAAAGCGGCACTCATTCGAGCGTACGCCCACACCATTACCGACATAGGCACCACATACGTCACAGCCAGAAATAATAAGTTATACCTGCAAAGAAAAATTACGTTTAATACTAATCCTAATATTATAAACTAGCTTCCACCCGCGGTTTCGCTCGCGTATGTAGATAAAAAGTAGCTTATGTCTATTCCGGAGTGTATCCTATGTTTGTGTCAAATTTCATCCTGATCTGTCCAACCGTTTTGGCATGTTTGAGTAACAAATATCCAAACATCGTAACTTACGCATTTATAGTGTTAGTAAGATAGTAAGATGTGAAAGTTTGTGAGAATGCTTGAAAGTAAGTTTATTATTCCTTTACACAAAAACGGCTATACCGATTTTGTCAAATTTGGTATAGAGATAGGTGATGCCCCGGATTAATAAATAGGCTGCTTTTTATAAAAATACCACGCGGAAGAAGCCACGTGCCGAAGCCAGTTCATATTAATGAAGCCCATAAGCTCAACTGAGAAAATTATCAAAATCAACCGACAGCGGTTTAGATGTTACTAAAACAACAACAAAATAGAAAAAAATGGTCTCTATTTACAACACAACTTGAACATCACATGTTGTCATTCAGTGTATTCATTAAATTAGCAGCCAGATAAATTGCTGATGCATCGACAAGAAAATTAAAATGGTAAAACAATGCTTGTTCCGAACAATATAGTATGTCGGTAAAAGCCAATTTTCCGCGTAATAGAAGCAACGTGGGAGGATTAATCTTTTTTTTTAAAACAATAACAAGACTGGCAGGAACCACAGAGTTTCATGAAATGCTATTTACGAGCAAAATCGATTAAAACTTTGCTGATGCGCCCCTGAATTGTTAGACTTGGTAAACTAATATCAAACACATTTCGTGTTAAGATGCAAAAACGGTTGGTTATTACTTCTAAAGTTTTCATGGTAAATGAATTTATTGATTAATTGATTTTGATATTAAATGTGATATTAGTAATTCCTATTCCTACTTATATTGAAAATGTGAAAGTGTGTGAAAATATACGGGTGAATGTTTGGTATTCTTTAACGTAAAAACAGCTGAACCAATTTGGTTGAAATTTGATATGTAGATAGGTGATAAACTGGATTAACATATGAGTTGTGTTTTTTAAACGTACCACGCGGTTAAAGCCGCTGCTGAATGCTAGTTTCAAAATAAGGTTTTACCTCTGTTAACTTGTTCTTGAGTCTAGATTTATTTAAATATTGAAGAAAAAGAAGTTAAGAGAGCAGTTAAACAGAACAAACGTACATAATATATCCTCGAAAAATATAGGTACTCCAAATCTAAACTGGAATATGAGCAAATAGAAAATCATTTATTTTCGTTCGAGTCCATTTTGCTGGTCGACTGTAGTTGAATAGAGTTTAATAATTGAATTTAGAAAATCTAGTTAGAAATACCAAGTCTAGGTTTGTGTTTAGTTCATAGCCCACACATACATATGTACTATGTATGTGTGTGTAGGTTCACACTAATAATAGAAAATATAGCTAACTATATTACGTATATTTATTGACAATGTGACTTCTATAGTCTTTTACCCCTTAAGTCATGATAATTCGTTTATGCATATTGCATAATAACTTATGTGTCAACAATTGATATTTCAATTTAGATCGAAAACATTTTCCTTCAATCTTTTCTTGTCTTGAACACACATTTTCAGTCAGGATTCAATTTACGGAGACTAGTAAAAGGCTACTTTTTTACTAGATAAAAAGTAAAGTCTTGAAAAAGAGGCCTCAAAACCAATATACAGTTCGATTCTGTCAACATTTTTCTATAAAAGAGAAACGTGTGCCGAGAATCAAAATTCTTAACGCCATTTTGGATAAGGCTGTGGCTAGGTTACTGGGCACGATTCTTTAATTCATTGAATATCTTTCCTTTGGCATCTGCCCTGGGTTTAAAAAAGGTCAATTTATTTACGATAAAAAGATTCAATGTACCGAAGCAGATACTCTTTCTACTGTTAAAGGGATATTATACCGATCCGTAAGCCGTAATAAAATGTTTATTTATTGCCAGTACATTGACAACCAATTTAATTCGGCTACAGTGGGAAACGAAACTTAGAAATTTTGATTTAAATTATTCTTAAATTTTTCATAGCTCTTTATTTTTTTTGCAAAATAGGTACTATATTTTAATGTTTGCGAATCAATCAATGCAAAAGGGCTAAGTAGTATCAAAGAATATACAGATTTTTATTTCTTTATGAAAAAAATAATTGCAATCCCTCTTAACAGTTAAGTAACATTTGCTGTCCTGATTAATATGGATATCATGATTTTCTTAAATATGTAAATTCATTCATTAATGTAATTAAACTTCCTTCTTCCTAAATTTGTATTTGTGTATTTCAATCAGAATGGAAAAAATAATAATTACGACCTAGTGACCCAATTCTCAGATAAGGATTTTTTTATTTAGAATTGGCCAGCTTTCAGTCACTAGCTTCCGTGGTTGGAAAGAAGAATGACACCTACAACGCAGCATGTCCATTAGCAATCTATTTATTCATTCCTTGAATACTCCCTGGTGATAAATATCTACAGAAACTCAGACTCAGGCTATTCTACAAAAAGTTGTGATATTGACTGCACGTTTGGCGCGATAAGTGGCCAACTGGCTGCGGCGCAATGTGTCGTGGTTTTGACTATCGCGTGGAACAACTCGTTGTGTGATCCACAATTTGTTGTTACGGGTCTGGGTGCTATGTGTATGTGAAATTGTATGTTTGTAAACGCATTCACAACACAGGAGAAAAATTTAGTGTGGGGCAACGTTCTTTTTAATAAAAAAATGTGAATTATAATCTACTTACACATAATCAGTTCTCGACGATGGATAGCTGCCGTCAGGCCATTTAATGAAACATATTTCTCTGTCACCGTTTACATACCTGTAACAAAAAAATATATATATAATAGGTTAGTATTTTTTAATCAAATTAGTAATAGCCACTCTTAATTTGCAGTAAAATCAACCGTTGAATTTCTAGGTAATACTTTGTGCCTTGTTCCCCTTCCTATTCTTATTCAACCATATATTCCAGTCTAACTAGTGAGAACATTAAATCAAAAACAGTGTTCCGAGAATCCAACAAATGCATACTGAACCAAGCAAATACATAAATTGGCAGACTTAATTTAAATTGAGGTTAATAGAACAAAAACAACATAATTCAAAATGAATTACAATTTGTGGACAGCAAATTACACATTCACATAATATTATAACATTTAATACACCGCGGCCTCGACCTTGAGCAGGAGAAGTTTTAGTCAGTAAACATAAATTCGTATTTGTGTTACTGGAGCACCATTGATGCTCCAGATCTCGTGCACTATTTCATATCCCAAAAAACGATTGCCGACGTAAGAATTACAGGGTGTTTGACGTCCCCCAATGTTGAACTGTCGCACGCGCTAAGTCACCAATTCCTCACATTCTAATTCTAGTCTCGCGTAACGATCTCCTGGAACCATATCCAACTACTGATCTGTTTGGAGATGGATGGAAGGAAATTTTATTGGAATGCATGGGGGATTGCAAGACGAACTTTGAATGTTTATAATTTTTCTTTTTTTTTTTGTTGTTAATTTAAATAGATCAAGTCCGTATAAAACCCGTCCTACTCTGTGTGTGTGTTGTTTAGAACTCATTGTATGATTTTTTCTCTCTGGTATGGTAAAAGCTGTAACAACTTCTAATGTAATAGAATGTTACGAAACGAGCGACGGACTTAACAAAATCGCCAGGTCTGTTTACAATCAAAACTTTTAAACGTATCAGTACGCCCGCACCCTGCGGCGTATAAATGTTCCATTTACCCTGTTTTACGGTACAACTTCAACTATTTTACTTTATTTTATATCTTTTACTGACAGGTGTTTAACTTAAAGGAAAATTATGGGGTTTCCGGTTCCCAAATAAAATTAGAATTATGTGGTCCCTTGTCCTGGCCTTTTGCTACTATTTTCGGGCTATGCTTGTGTAGCTGTCTACTTATTCGGGTCTCACTTGATTGTCAGCGCTTTACGTGGATTTATTTACCCTCTGACCTCTAGAAAACTAAACCACATATTTAGCAGCAGCAGATACGTAGCTTTTGATTAGATTCAATTTGGTGTGCATTTTATTTTTGTTAGTTCCGATATAATATGCTTGTTTACCTCCTTTTTAGTGAGACCGACTTTTATATGGTACATCAGATTCAGTTTGAGGGTTATTATATTTTTTCTATCAAAACATTTTTACATGTTATTTCCATTTGTATCATAAAAATGCATTTTCAACTCCGAAAACTATCTTTGTATCTACACGTAAAAATTATCGCAAATTAACCTCATTATAAGTTATAATAATTTTAAAATCATAATTAGAAATGAGTTTCATGACTTTTAGCTATGAGAATCACGGTGTTTGAGATATTTATAAAGATAACTTTTCCAAGCTGACATACGTTTTTATTCAGTACCTACCTTTGAAACGAGAAACTTTCAAAGAATTGAAAGAAACAATCCGTGGTATACCGATGTTTTAAATTTAGAATAACTCAACTATTTCAACAAGTTTTTGCTGTTCAAATAGCAATTAAAACTTTTTAACAAGGTATTTGTATATCGTTAAAAGTAAATTTTATAATTTTAAAATTTAAACCACAAGGGTTTGCTTTGTTTGGTTTCAAACAACAATTAGTTAAATATGCACATAACTACATATTTTTTTAAGAATAGTTAGTAGTTGGTAGTAAAATAAACGATTTGATTTGTATGTTTTATATTATAGGATACAAAACCAAACTACAATGATAAAAAATAAAAGGTTCATAAACAATGCATGTACACATATTATCGTTAATCTTAATTTGTATAATATGATACGAGCTGCCCGCTCCTGCTTCGCTCGGGTATCCAGCCGGTTGCGATTTTTAGATCTTCCCCTCTACTCTTGTAAATCTTTCATAAAAACCCTCTCCTGGCACGAACACAACAAAATAAGAATCGGCAATTTTGGTTCAGGGTTTTTTTTAGGGAGTTATGCTCTTACTAACATATTTTGATATTCATTTATATTTTATACTAGCGACCGTTTTTACACGTCCGCAAAATTTGACCACTATTTAATAAAAATTATTATGCATATAAACCTGCTCTATCTATTAAAAAAAGCGCATCAAAATTCGTTACGTAGGTAGTTTTAAAGACTTAAGCATACATAGGGATATAGGGCCAGAGAAAAAGTGACTTTGTTTTATACTATGTAGTGAAGTTTATTTACACTAAAGATGGCATCAACATTATTTAGTATTTATTCGCAACTGCTAAGCACGGGATGGTCCCCTGTCACTAACGGCTTAGCCCTTCGTAAAGCGTTATCGAGACTATTTCATAACTCTCAATAGGGTTCCAAATCAATATTCAAAGTCTGATTAATGACTAGAACTTTGCTTATAAGAAACTAGCGTGGGCCTGCAAAATACACGATATGAGATAAAAGGTTTTTTATGGGACAGGGCTTCAAAGAACCTGACCGTATTGCAAGGGCTTTATGACTTTTTAGGACTTTTGCAGGTTTTTTTTTTATGTAATAGGTCGGCAAACGAGCAGACGGATTACCTGATGGTAAGCAATCGGCGCCGCCCATAGACCCCCGCAACGGAGGAGTTACGAGTGCGTTCCCGACCTTTTAGGGATTAAGGTTTTGGAGATTTAGGGTTTTGGGAGGGATCGGGGGAGGAAAAGGATTGGGCCTCCGGTAACCTCACTCACACGGCGAAACACAATGCTGTGGTTGTTTCGCGCCGGTTTTCTGTGCGGCCATGGTACCACTCTGTGGTCGAGCCGACGCATTCGTGCCGAAGCATGGCTCTCCCACACTTTAAGGTTAGGAATTTATGAATCGATACCCTAGTAATGTAAAATTAATTTTAGATATTAATAATTATATTTATCCTAAGTGCCTCACTGAGATAGTACTGGTAAGTTTGACTGTCCAGCAAAAAGTCTTGAGTCCGACTTTTAAGTTGAACAATGTGGTATAGGAGTGTTTTCGGGCTTTTGGATCTAGAGTATTACTTATTAACAATGAGTCGAGTATTGCATGGTGATAGCTAGAGAATCGAGTCAGCTCAGTAAGAGTCCCATTCGATCTCAATCATTCAATTCATTAAGAGTCTAACTATCCCTCCTACCGTTACCAGGGCAGAAGAAGGCGTTCGATATTCATTTAAAGGTTTTGTATAATTACATTTTGCAATTAAAAATTATAATAATTATACTAAAATCCCAACTGAAGAAACTTTTCGTCTGCAAGTAATTTTCTTATGTAAAGCAATCTGAAACTTTGTAGTTTTAACTTTTGCGCTTCAACTTTTACACTTTAGGTTTTCTCAAAACATGAATGTTAACACTAACAACTTTGATTATAAGCAAAGCTTGTGACCTCAATCAGTGTTACCTAAGTCCTAACATAATACAAGAAAACAAGAAAAAAGACTTGGTAAATTCCTATTTTAAGAAAAATAACTTTGTTTCGAAGGTGCATTTATAAATATATAATTTCACATAAATACCCGAAACAACTATTTGTTAATCACTCAAAGAATTGTTCCGTATAGGAATCAAAAATCGTTACACGTTGCATAGCAACCGATAGTCTGCAGTCTTCATCCAGGACTCAGAGACCTTGTAACTCTAAAAGGGGAAGATAAAAACACATAAGACACACTATTATACAATTTAAAAAGGTCCCAAGCACCTTAATTTTATTTGAGCGATAAGCCTATTGACATACACCGAGTACTTATTTTTATATCAGCCATTATTGATTAGCGATGTATCAATAAGGCTAAAATATTACAACACGATACGAATTGGATACATTCCAGGAAAAGATACAAAGAGAAGCAGTAAAATAAACATAGGTATGTACATAACTCATTTATTTGTAATACGAACGTGATGTTGACTTCTTTTTCGCAGAAGAAGCTATTAACTAAACAAATCAAATGTCAGTAAAGAAAATACGTACAAGTTAAAAATAGCTATCAGTACCTAGATGAAAACAGACGAGTCTAGTTCATTGTACCAGACAGCTTTGTGTTAGCGTACTGACTAATGGTCATTTGTTCTCCGCGTAAGAACTGGTTAACTAAGAAATTTTTATTTACAACTAGCTACTCCCACGCGGTTTCACTCGCTGCTCAGCTCCACTTGATTGTAGCGAGATGTTTATAGCCTATGGCACTCAGGAACATTGTAGCTATCTACCAGTGAAAGAATTTTGGAAATCCGACCAGCGGTTCCAAAGATTACGCCCTACATACAAACTTACAAATTTTACCTCTTTATAATATTAGTATAGATCTAAGGCTTGACACTTTTTAAGGGTAAAATATTTTAGTTTTGCTGAAGATACAGTAATGTAATCGTGGTATCTGAACACCCAGTGCAAGTTTGCCTTACGTAAAGGCAATCGTTTATGGCGTTCGGTGCTCTGTTTGGCTTGCTCCAAATGTTCGATCGAAACAGGTTCGATTAGAACAATCAGAAAGCTAAACACTTCAGGCAACTGCTACGTAGTTGTCTGGCTTTATGCTGAACTGGACCTGTTTGGCACAGCCGTGAGACATTGATATTATTCATTTTATTTCTTTTTATTTGTTTTTTCCTTTTTTATCTTACTTGAGATTGTAATTACTTATTTTAAGTTGTTCATTTTATTTTTTATATTGTTCTTCATGGAGTGCCAAATAAACATGTTTTCTCTCTCTTTCTTTCTTTCTAACTTAAAACAAACTTGCACTAAGATTTGATCGAGAAAATCAAATAAACTAGGTAAAATATATTACCATTGATCAGAGTACCCTAATGAAACGGGTATATAAAACTCGAGCTGTAAGTAAACTATACCGTAAGTTCGTTAGACTATGTGTTTCTACATTCAAACTTAGCTAAAACCACTAAAATGTAATACCAAAGTAAGAAGTATACACACAGTAGGCCAACGCCTTCATACCGACGCGACAGTAAATGAAGGATATACATAATCATGTTTAATTATAAGTCTTCGACAGATTCTACATGTATCGCGCACTTAAGGGTCGATGCACCCGTCTACGAGACTACTTACAAACTTTATGGATTCTTCCGACCTGGATAAGGCCAAAAAGAGAGTCAGGCTCTTACGGAAACCGCCCTTTTTATTCTCCTGCTTCGGATCGGAGCTACTTATTTATTTCGCTTGCAACTCCGGCTGAGAGTACTTAGGATTTTGACAATTATCTTAACTCTTGAATCGTATACAAAATGTATTTACACTAAAATATATTTATATTGTATTAATATTTATACTATTTTGTTACTGTACAAATAATAAATAATACGTTATAAACGTTTTTATTATAATCGCTTCTATTTTTATTAAATTTAAAAAAGCTTTTAATCCGGCTTAATTTTTCAACATTTATAAAAAGGAGGCGAGTAAGACATCAAAGAAAAATGACAGCATTTTAAAATTCGAATTACATCGATTGAAAAATTCGACACTCACGTTTGGAAAATGGTGAACTATATTTTTTGTCCTAATAGAGAATCCTCAACACTACTTTCACAAATCCTTATTCTGTACAACTGTTGTTAAGACCGTTATTTACTTTTAATGCTACCGACGAGCGGTGCAACGAAATAAAGTGTTGTTCCCATTTAGAGAACAATTCGCTTGAACTTCAAACAACTGAACGGTCTTTTGATTTGTGTTTAAATATTTTACTTAAAGTTTATTATTTACACTTTTCTGTAAATTTGGGATTTAAAAAAAGAATCGTTGTAATGTTTTTGCTAAACATTTTACTTATTGGTCCTCGACTTGTACTCTTTCTTTACTCTTTTGACGTCCATTCATAAAAATCAATAAAATTCCCTGCTTAATCACACTTGACATCATCATTAAAAAAAATAACAGCGAATTCACAGACAAACTTTCCTCAACTGTCTCAAAGTGAAGAAAAAATACAATTAAATCAATGAATCCGATTGTTAAAACTTCATATACCAATTAAAAAATCCATTATGAAATCCTATTAATATTAATTATGAATATGGAAGTTTAATCCTACCATTACATGGAATACATTTTAAACCTTTCCAAGAACATAATAAAATCGTTTCTCTGATGTGTATAGTGTTAGTTGACTGGCCATCGAGAAAAGCCTAGTTCCTAGACTACACGCAAATTTGTAGGCCGAGAGTTTCTTTAATATTTAATACAACCTGTCCCAGCTTGGCACGAGTGCAACGTTAACATTAAATTTCCCCACTATTTAATGGATGTTACTATACATATAATCCTTCCTTTAATCAAACTTCCTATTAAAAAAACGCATCAAAAACCGTTTCAAAGATTTTAGCATATATAGGGATACATGGGCAGGTAAAGCGACTTTGTTTAGAATTATGTAGTGATATTCTGTAAAATATAGGTTGCTTAACAACATAAATGTAAGATGATATCTACAGAATTAACTTAGCTTAGCTTCTAGGACAGTAAATTTGGAATCTACTGGGTAATGTTCATGTTGAAATTCGAGCACAGTTTCTGCATCTGACTAAATTTACACGCCCCTGTAATCTTTTAAGTTTAAAGTTACCTTTAAACTTAAATAGGTAAATTTTCATAATGTTTTCCTGTAATAATACTATATTTTAAATTAAGATTATTGGAGCATAAATTATTATGTTTCTTTATATTAATAACACTAAGTACTAAAAGAGTGACTCTTATCCGTTTCTTTCTCACGGATGGTTTCTTCACTTGGAATTCTACTTGCGCCTTATTCGACAAGATATCAAAAAGATTTATTGTTAAAATAAAGGAATCATCTGTATTAAGTAGAAAAAAAAACAAATGAGTAGTGTATAGACTTAATAGGAAAGGCTAAAAGTTCAGGGAACGGAGAGTAAAGTTGGTTAGGTATGTGAGGTGATCAGCTAAACGGTTCTTTTTTCGTCAGGGGAAAATCATTACTGACTAAACCTCCCCCCTCCCGTTCCTTCTCCTGCTCTTCTGACCGAGGCCGCGGTGGCTCATTGAGCTTAACCCGAAACCCCAGCTGAACATAGGGTCCCGTACCCGTCATAGGGCCCCGTCTATTGGCTCTTTGAGGCGGGCGCCGAACGCTACGCGCTATAAGTTCGGGTCTGGTTCTGATCGGGCGGCTAACTACCCTTACTCGCCGTCCGCAGGTCCGCACGGTCTACTGTCCTAAAGTTGTACTTTAGGATTTTCTATCAATGTTTAATCGCACGCAAATTTCACTTGAGTGATGTAGGATTTGTGACACATTATCTTTTGAATGTTATCAGTGTATGTCGCTACATAGTGGTCATCAGTTCACAGGTCTAATCCTGCTCTAATCTTGCTCTAATTTAAAACCTGGTTAATATAATAGTAGTTAATAATGAGGAAGGGTAAATAAGTATAGAATGTCGTATTACGAAAGATTACTAATAACTATAATAACTACTTTTTTAATAACTACTATGATAACTACTTTTCTAAAACATAAGTTTAAGGTGGACTCTAAAAGTAAGTATGTTAATGTCGGACGGTCAGCCTTTCTCCTCCCCATCCCAATTGTAAAACTCTAACTACCTATAAAAGATGGCTACGCGTTAGTAACTGCTCTGGTGTTTTGGGTTTCCATGTGCGACTCCAATTGTTTACTATGATCAGAAGATATATGTATTAGTTTACGCTCTTTCCCTAATAATGTTCAGAACACGTACATACAACTTAAAAACTCTATTACAGAAATGCATACTTATGTTTTAACGCTACATTATCCTAAGAATTTCTTAATTATTTAACAAAAAGCAAACACAATACGGGCTTTCAGGGAGTTATACAGTTTTAGACGTTTAGTTTTCAAATCTACTTTGATCTCTAATTGTATTAGTACTTCAACCTAATTTACTACCTATTACACTTTAAATTATTTAAGGATTTCACCGGCTACGCTAAATAAACTTTAACATTAGCTCATCAATAATGGTCTTAAAAATATTATAATGTGATGCTGCTAATAATAACAAGCTGCTCTTCTTAGTTATTTCAGTTTTCAAAGGTTGTCTACAAATAAAGTTTAAGTTGTTTATTCATTCAGTGACCTTTTCCTATTTATATTTTGTGCTAGTTTGTAATAACACAGCCTAAGAATATAAGGACTACTAAAAGAATATTCTTTGGCTAAACTAAAAACATAACTTGGCTAAAAAATAACAAAGTAGGTATTATTTTACCCATACCACAAGTTAAATCTTACTTTGGGTACCAGTGGTCAACAAAATTATTGTACACGTGAATATTGTTATAACTGATGTGTGTTTTCTCTTGTATTTGCCTTTGTGAGACAATAAATTATTATTATTTTATTCTTACCTAATTCAAATTTAGAAGGTTTAAGAACCATTTCCCAGTTGTCAATGTTACATACGTATCAATGATTGTAATATTTTTTAACTTAACGGAAGTAAACAGAGAGTTTATCAATAGCACCTTGTCCCTTATCATAAATACTTAATTATCATCAGCTATATTAAGTAATTTGATATTGTTGTTTGGAAAAAAACCATATTGGTATTAACATAGTGTGCTATTAATAGATTGTTAAACTGCAGTATTGTTACCGTAAACAAACTTACTGTTTTTTATAAGTATCCGAGTAGAGTAGGCTGGGCAATGCAAGCAATGCGCTGGCGCACCAGACGGTGAAGAGCGCCGTACGCGCTACTCGACGACTAAGTCTGTGCTGTAGAGGTTTCACTATTGCCACGTATCTGTACAAACAATAAAGACACTACTTAAGTAGAGTTAAAAAAATAAGCAATTTAAATATATGAAGGCTTTTTGTAAGGGGATAATCATTCGATGACTTCTCTCGCTAGGGTATGGCAAGAGGGTAAAATATCTTCTGTTTGGAAAAAATCTTAGGAATTTCTCGTTCCATATTTAAAACATAAAGCGATTAACTTTAGTAAAATATAACTTTTTTTCAAAAAAGAAAAGGAAATTAAAAAAAGAACAAAAGAAAATTATTATCGGAGTATAATTCGTTTCTAAGAAATAGTTCACTAATAGAACGCTCTTAAAGCGACACCTTTTTCTAGAATAAAAATATTCCTTTCAAAACTAAGCTCTTAATAAAAGCAGACATCACGCGGCGGTAGTTGCAAGTAATCTACTTATTTGAAGTTATTTCATTCTATTTATATGACCCTGTTCTTTCTTAGCAAAACAAATAGTCTTTTAGGTTAATAGATTTGGCTACAGACCAAAAAGTATAGTTTCAAAACAGACTCAACACTCGTGTTAATAACTTATCTTTAGTTTTAATTAATCTCTGTTAGCGAACAAACGTTGAAAGAAAATGATGACTGTGCTTTAGGAAAAAAGTCCTCACATAGAATCAAATACGCAATATATTTCTGTTTTAAGTCTATTCTAGAACTGAGCATAGTGTGGTCAAGAAATTTTAACCTTGGTTTAATTAATGGACCGAGATTCGATCATTTCAATAAGTAGAAAACCATGGATCAATCTCTTTCTCTCGACTCACCCTGGGAAGAATTGATTGAAAGATTTTCCCAGAAAAAAGGCACATTAAATCAATCAATGCACATTGATTGATTGCGAACCGGGCAGTAGAACTTTTTTTCAAGTACCTTTTTTCTGGGAAAATCTTTCAATGAATTCTTCCCAGGGTGAGTCGAGAGGGAATGTCCGACTCTTATTGACTAATACCGGCGGTGGGGGGAGGTTTACTCAGTAAGTTCCTTCTCCTACTTTAGGGCCGAGGCCGCGGTGCCTTATTGCCCTTACCCCGCAACCCGACCTAAGTTTGCTTTCCACACTGCCTGTCATACGTGGAGGTTGTGGCAAACCCTTCATTAAAACTTAACTAAATCAAGGCAACAAGTATAACAACAAAACATTTCGAAAAAACAAAAAACAACACAATACAAATAGCTACAAGACACAAAATGCCTTCCGCGCTTAACTAAAGCGATGGGTCACTCGGGTACATAATAGTCGGCCATATTTCTCTCCATAGAGTCCACGAAGAAAAAGCGAGATTAGTGTGTCAAAAGAGGGATGACATCGATTATATCGGAACACCCTGATAGATGGTTACATTGTCAGTGACAGATATAGACGTTTAGAACTAAGACGAAGTGAGCATAGATAAGTAGGTAGTCATGAGGAATGACCTCACAATATTGATTGACAAATTTGTCGCTTAGTGTACTGTTTTTGATGTCATAACACTTGTCAAGAATGTCTTAGAAGTTTTGTTTATTAGAAAGAAAACTGCATTTTATCTATGCAAATGTGTGGACAGGTTACGTACAAGTGCGTTAACGACATTTTGCGGGCTATAAGGGATTTACGGTTAGGGGATTTGGGGATTAAGGATGGGGCCTTCCGTCATTCACATGGCGAAATACAACGATAGTGTTGTTTCACGTTGGTATTTTGTGAGATCGTGGTGTCACTCCGGTCGAACCCGCTTATTCACGCTAAAGCATGGCTCTCACACGTCCCTACGAATTAACCTATTTTCTTATTATCTTATTTTCTTTCCGAAGTTTAGCATACGCATGTTACAATAATCGATTCTAATTTCCATGTCTACCTAAATGCTAATGAACATAACGAATGGATAGAAAGCAAACAATAATTACGTCACTGATGACCGATGATTATACAAACGGTGTGTGAACAACAATAATGACGAAGTAACGCTGTACACCATTACATAGTATGAAACAAAATCGTTTTCTCTGTCCCTGTATCCCAACGTATGTTTGAATCTTTAAAACTACGCAACGGATTGTGCTGCTGTTTTGTGTAATAGATAGAGTGATAAAAAATCTGGCAAGTACTTTCTTTGTTCAGTAAGATGCTACAGGCGGTGCAGGAAAATATCGCGAGGAAACTTGGACTTATAATTTCTAATTATAAGTTTGAAATCGCCAATCCGCCTTGAGCAAGCGTGATTAATGCTCATTTCTCTTTACTAATTCTTAATTTCACGCCTGTTTTCTATATGGCCGTGGTATCACTCCGATGTTATATATAAAAACATAAACAGTATTTTTATGGCACAAACATATTTTATCATATTGGCCATCAATAATTTGAGGAAAACCTTGTCAGATACCTTTGACCAGTAGTGGGCACTAACATGCTGATGTTGTGTGTGATTAAAAAGGAAGATTTACATGCATAATAACATGCATTAAAGAGTGAATTGTTGTTTAAAGACGTAGACCTATTTAACAACAAATACTAGAGCTAAATACTACTTACGTTTACTGCCAAGTACCTTTGTTATGTTCCTATAGCTAGGGTTTAAGTCACGTGTAAATTACACACGAGTAATTTTACACCTAGCTTTGTCTCTGGCGTGACATCGCACGGTAGAAATGCTTAGACAATATAATATTGTAGGCACCTCTGACTAAATACATCTCGTGTTGGTATTTCCTTTGAAATGTATTATGATATATTATGATAATGTGGGAGAGCCATGCTTTGGCACGAATGGGTCGGCTCAATCGGAGTCATACCACGGCCTCACAGAAAACCGGCGTGAATCAACCACAGCGTTGTGTTTCGCCGTGTGCGTGAGGTTACCGGAAGCCCAATCCTTCCCCTCTCCCAATCCCTCCTCAATCCCTAAATCTCCAAATCCCTAAAAGGTCAGCAACACACTCGTAATTCCTTTGGTGTTACGGGTGTCCATGGACGGCTATGATTGCTTACCATCAGGTAATCCGACTGCTCGTTTGCCGATCTATTCCATAAAAAAAATTATGCTCGTTACTCTATCGTGAAAAAAGTTGTAAACGAATCTGACAGTTTCGATGAGAAAGGTAAAGAGAGTCTAAAAAAGCACACCTATCAATGCCGATGAAGCTGCTAGTAAAAGCCAGTATTGTGATAAGTTAATTCAAAATAAGTCTATATGTGTCTGGATTAGGTCGTACGTAAACTAGTTACTCTATAAATGAGAAAAAAAAACAAGCTCCAAAAACCTTTACAAATTATTTTTAATAATAAATCGATAATTCCTCAAAAAAAAAAAGATAAATGAAGATCTAAACAAAAATGTGTTTTTTAACACAATTGATATATATATGCACTTAGATGAAATGAAAAAACAAATACGCTGGAAAACTCACAACTGACTCGGTAGTTACACAAAAACAGAACACTTTGACCACCGTAAATAGTGCCATAGAATGCAGTAGCTGAGGTCGGAATCGAGGAAATAATCATCATTTGGGTTTATTATTCCTACTGCTATTCCCTTTTAACGCATTATTCGAGTTGTGGGAGCAAAGTGATTTTTTGTGTAGTGACAATAACTCACAGACGGGTAATCGCCAAAATGTTTAACCACAAAAATGGTATTGATCGTGTACCAAGTAAAGAGTATTGAATTCAATTCGAGTTAGGTTTGAAAATATTGTGAAAAATTTAGAGGTCTCAGCATTTTTTTATTAGGTTTTACTTTAGTATGTATCACACAACTACATATTTAAGGACGGGTTGCATTGTTGAAGAGTCGATATTAACTTTTTTTTACTAGCGAAAATTAAAATACCTGTTTTATTAAATGATAATTTTGTTATTTTTTTATGAAAGTTAAATTTTATCACATATCGACAAGCCCCTCGGACGACCCGTGGATCCTCGCAACACCGAAGACGTGTGTAATTTGGAAATTTTGAATGTAGAGGAAGGATTGGACCTCCATTATTAGATCTCCGGCAACCTTACTCACACGGTGAAACCCAACGCAAGCATTGTTTCACGCCTCTTATCTATATGACCGTGGTATTACTCCCATGTTTTAACATATAAAACATAAACAACGTAATATACTTTTATGGTACAAACATATTCTATCATATTGACCATCAATCATTTGAGGAAAACCTTGATATTTGTTCCAGCATGTAAAAGGAAACCGTTTCCCTGAAATTACAGACGCGTGAGATAAAACTTTGTGTGGCATATGTCCATGAAAATATTAGATATCGATACATTATATTATGTTTGTATCATATCCTTATTGAATTCAATCATCCATTGATAGGTATCGAATTTTCTAGAAAAGTTCTTAGTTGTAACTTAGCTTCTTAGACCAAAATATTTAATTTAGTCATGAAGCAACTAATTTGATAACACCGGCTTACGACTTTTTCTTGAAATATATATTCATTTTTTTTTCGTTATTTTTCGCCAAGCAATATTAGTTTATTTACATAGCATACATACATAGAAGAATGCATGTATTATCAAAATATGAAGGTTTGTATACTATTATTTAATGTTGACTATTAATATCCATTCATTCAAAAACTGCCTTTACTCAAATATTTTATATATTTCACGATTTATTAAAAAAAATGTTGCCCCCACCCTAGGATTTTTTCCTGTGTCATGGTTGCGTTTTCAAACATAAAATTTTACATACACATCACACCCAGATCGGGAACTACAATTCGTGGATCACACAAAAAGCCATACCCTGGGTAAGGGAAGTCATTTGATGATTGATCATTTGATGATGCTAATAAAGAATTTGAATTTGTATTTTAATTTTCCCTCCACAAGAAACGTATACTTATACATATTCTTAATCCCTACCTGTACCGTGTATGGTACAACAATAAATTTTAAATTGAGTTGGAACAGTATAAGTGCAGTGACCCACATATTGCACTTCCAATTCATTGACGCATACAAGCAATAAATCAAATGTACC